GTTGCTTCATGACTCCTGGGGTGCAGCTCTGGGCTGTATGGGCTATGCAGCATGTTTGCAGCAAAAATCGTATGTATTGACCAAACAAACAAACTAAAAGGCCTTTTTATATTAAGCAATTATTTCAACATAGAGTAATTAGTAGGCACCAGATAATTCTTGTGATATCTAGCATCACAGATTTGAAATAAATTTTGGGGACATGGGGAATGAAAATCATCTTGTAGCAATTCTGTCACAGTTAAAAGGCAAGCAATATGAGGAGGTAAATGGTAAGTGTTTTGGATTTTAGCAGCCAATGATGATGCAATGGATGGCATTTTGAACTTGGAACAGATCTAGCTTGGTCTTTGTTCAACTGATAAATGACAGTCTCTGTCTAATAAATCTCACAAGATATTTGTTATCCTCTTCTTCAACTGAAGTGCTCTCCATCCTTTTTGGGTAAACAGAAACCACTATCAATATAAAATTTGCTTGCCCACAATGGCAATCTCTATCCTGCCTCCATTGCCTTTTTTTGATACCTTCCTATATGATGCTACTGTGATGCATGTGCAATGCACGATAGGCAAAAGAACTGACTGAGCCGTCTGGCTTTGCTTTTTGTTGGATTTATTCCTTCAATAAAGTCTTTAAAGTCTTGGGATGTAGAAATACTTATATGTACATACCATGTAATCTTATGTCTATCATCTCTTCAAAAAGCAAATAGCATAGCAGAGAGGATGCCTTGTGACAATTACATTTCACAAAATAATTTTGCTAAACCCATAGGCAGCTTAACCAGAATTTAAATATGTAAAAGTTATATGTGAAAATTGATGGAAACAGAGAGTGAAATTCTAGAATCTTGATTTTATTGAATCTTTCTCTTTTCTTCATTTCAGCTGCCAGATACTGCAGTATGTTAATTGAAGAAGGTGGATTGCATCATTTGTTTAACATCAAGGAAAACAGCCAGACTGATCCAGATGTTCAGCGAATTGCTGTCTCCATTTTAGATAGCTTAGAAAAACATATTTTGCGACATGGACGGCCACCTCCTTATTAAAAAAAAAACCAATTGAAAATAAGCCAAATTGAATGAAAACATGTAACAGAGAATAGGTGTGCAAATTATCCTCTCATAATCCCTTACTGAAATGTCCCTGGTTGGAATAATGTTGATAAAAGTTATCACCATTATTTTTTTGCCAGTTGATATGGAAGCAGGGCTAGTACATGTTATCTTTAACAGCCTTCAGCATTAAGGGATTGTCAAGAGGATCTAGAAAAAAAATCGTAACTGGTAATATCTACCAGTATCACCTCTGGCTGTGGAAAAGTGGAAATTGTGCCATTCAAATGTGCATTCAAAATTAAACCTGTAGACTGTGTGAGTTCATCAGAAAATTGTTTCTGCTTGCTTCATCCCTTCAAAATAGTTGTGTTTTAATAGAACTATCCACTGATTCAGTATTTGGAAAAAAAACAAAAACCTGTGCTTGTAATGTCAGCACTATACAGCTCAAGATACTGTCATATTTACACATTAGAACTCAACAGGTTATGAGTAAGGTGACCAGGGATAATTGTTCTTCTATGGACCTTTTAAACTCACGGATTCTTCAATTTCTACTACCGTAATATTTCATATAAACTCTTTAGCAGAAACATCTGAGTTTCAAATCATGGGTTTTTTTTTTTTTTTTTGATGTTCTGTAATATACTTTGAGGAAAATCTCCATGGAGGAAGAAATGTAGGAAGGGAAAGATTGAATTATAATTACAAAAAAAGTAAGAATATATATTATGTTGCTACACTTGTAACTAAGTGTAAATTTGGAAAAAAAAAAAGTAGAGAAAACTAAAATTTTCTACCAAAAGAATTGCTGGGGGAAACTTGCTCAATTTATGGGATTGTACATCTAATCACCTTATTTATGACAGACTGTTAATAGCTTTGTTCTTTCTCATAAATACCATGTCAGTATTTGTGCAGTGAGCTTTATGTGGAAAGCAATGCCATACAAAATTTCACCCAACATTTTATGTAAAATCTGGTGTAAATTACATTCTTGTGTGGTATATTAAAAAAATTTTACATAAAACATTCCATGATTAAAAACTCAATAATGCATATGTGTTGATGCTTAATGGAATAAGGTGAAAATAGCAACACAAAGTCCATTCTGAAATAGATGTCAGCAAACCATGGTTTGGCTCAGGCTTACCTAGTCAAGGTGTGGAAGCTGCACAATGGCGAACACTATATCATAGAAGGAGCTAACCTGGTTACAAGAGAAATGACATTAGTTTTCTATCTATGAGAAGCTAAGAGCCGAGGTGGCGCAGCAATTAGAGTGCAGTACTGCAGGCCACTTTAGATGACTGTGTTCAGCAGGTCAGCGGTTCAAATCTCACCGGCTCAAGGTTGACTCAGCCTTCCATCCTTCCGGGGTAGGTAAAATGACCCAGATTGTTGGGGGCAATGTAAATATATATATACATTGCTTACTGGTGTACACCGCTTAGAGAGTGCTTGCACTTAAAGCGGTATATAAGTCTCATAAATAAATAAATAAATAAATTGTGTGATTTAATGTATATGATTTTCAGAAATAAGTCTGAAGTTCAGTGAAAGACTCATTTGCATAAAATTGTATCTTAAAGCTACAATCTTGAACTTCAGTTATTTGAGAGAAAGCCCCACAGAATAAAAGAAATCTAACTTCTGAGATAGGTTTATATGTGTATATGTGCAAATTATTAACATTATAGCTATGATCCTAATTTTTTTGATAAATGACATAAAAAACAAAGAATGCTTTCCAACAAATCTTTATTTGTATAATTTGCCCTGTCTGAAATGTGGGTCCAGATTTTTCCATTCATAAATCTATGTACCCCATATTTCTGGGATAAAAAACTCTTAAAAAAGAAAAAACCCTAACTACACAATGTATTCATATTAAATCTCATTTATTTCATTCTGATTTTAATCTCAAATATGGTATGTTTACTAGCTATATTTCTGAAAACTCATGTAACTGAATGATTTTCCAGGAATAATTAAGCTTTATTTTTTTAAAATCATTCATTTATCTTTACCCAAACACAATACTTTGAACTACTAAAAATACTCGTCTTGAAATCTTATATAAAGTTATTTAGCAATAGCAGCTAACTAATCTTGGTTGTTCTTGAAAAGTTAACGGAATCATGTATAGCTAGTACTCAGATTTGATACCATCAAGAAATCCTAGATTTGTAGTCTAGATTAGGAATTTTTAAAAAAATCTATGGAATGATAAGGTTAAACCCCTTTCATATTGTTGCCAAGAAAACAAGATGGTCATGTCTATGGAATCACCAGAAAGTGACTTTGACCCTAGAGAGATCTTACCTTAGCATTTCTGAACTTTATATATTACCACTATATAGCAATGATTATGATAGGGCTCCAAGAATTTGGATAGAATGGGCACAAGATTTTGAAAGAGTTCTTAGTGAGGTGTCTTCTCAAATTCAAACCACTGCTAAGTATTGTCAGGTATGGTACTTTAATTTTCATCATTATCCCATCTTCAAAATGATATTCACAGACTCACTGAAGGAAAATAAAAATGGCCAAGTGGAGCCATTTTAATTAGAATTTTAAAAAGCAAATGGTATAGTGATAATCATCTGTACCCCAACATGTTTATTAATTTTTTTTTGAAAAAAAAAACTGATTTCCTTTGGAGAATTCAAGCTACATCTGAACTTGAAGGAATGTCAAAATGATATATCATGTCCACACTTTTCTAAATGCAACATCAAATTCTTGGTTTAGGCCGTAAATATTATATTATAAATAGATATGATAGTATACAACAGGACTCCTAAATTGGCATGTTCAGGAATGTGCTAGAAGAAACTGAAGTGATAAAATCCTGTTTCAATTTCACTTAATTTTAAATTGGCCATCACAGAAATTTGGATTAAGCAACACAGCTTCCCAGTCTCAATATGTGTAAAAAATGAAACCAGTATGCTTTTTTTTTTTAACAGAAAATGCATATATTCCTTGGCACAAAACAACTGAACCACAAAGTAGCCAGCCACATCTTAATGTAATCTAGCCCTGTAGTACTTCAAGTTTCAGGGAATTGTGCACACCTGGAAAACTAGTTTTTCGCAAACTAGTAGAACCTCTTCTTCAAGTTTAGTTTCCCTCCTGGTGATCTTTGGACATATCCAATTACCTGATAATAAAATGGAAGTGTGTTGGCATTACCTCCCTCCAAGATGTTTTTCAACTTCCTAGTCTAATTTTATACTTTGGAACTTCCTGGTGGTCTCCCATATAATCTTGATTAACTACAATTGCTGGAATTGGGTAGGTCTAGTTTAACGAAGAGAAGGACGAGGGGGGACATGATAGCCGTGTTCCAATATCTCAGGTGCTGCCACAAAGAAGAGGGAGTCAAGCTATTCTCCAAGGCGCCTGAAGGCAGGACGAGAAGCAATGGATGGAAACTAATCAAGGAGAAAAGCAACCTAGAACTAAGGAGAAACTTTCTGATAGTTAGAACAATTAGCCAGTGGAAGAACCTGCCTCCAGAAGCGGTGAATGCTCCAACACCGGAAGTTTTTAAGAAGAGACTGGACAGCCATTTGTCTGAAATGGTATAGGGTTTCCTGCCTGAGCAGGGGGTTGGACTAGATGAACTCCAAGGTCCCTTCCAACTTTATTATTATTATTAATTTGGTACAGTTGTTGCAAACTCAATTCTTGAAGACTTTACATAGACACGTCCATTCAGTTTTCTTGCTTTATTCAGCAATGTTTTGACTACTTCTTCTATCCTAGATCCTAGTATTTCTGATAATCTCTCCTTTAAATTAGGACTAACTCTGCTTTATTCCCTGAATCCAGACAACTATTCGCTACGTGCAGATAACCTATTAAAACCGTTCCTGCATCTAAAAAAAAAAACCCACCCGAAGTAATTCTAACCAAGAAAGATATCGATTTCCGCTCAGCCTAAACCCACTTCAGCAATACAACAAAAAAGCATATACAACACCACGTACAACACCTTCGACGAAAAAAATCGCGCCCTTTCCGGCTTTCTGCGGGACCGATCTCGTTCATCCATTGCTCGACACTCGATTCCGCTCACTGGTCAGCGAGACATCCTTTCCATCGCCTACGTACACCGAACAGACGCCTGCGCCTTAATTTTGGCGGCTAAAGATTGTTCTTCTCAGGCCGCTTCCGATTGTTATTGTTTTTTTTTCTTCCCCGCTTTCCGGTTTGGGGAAAGTGGATGCCGCTTCTTTGCAATGGTGCGCTTCCTGCAGCTCCGACAACGAGCCCCGCTCGTTATTTGTGGAAATTGTCCGGCTGTGCAGGTGAACGGGGCGGGAGGCGGTTCTAGAGTCCGAGCGAGAAACGAGAGGGACGGGATAAGAGAGAGCGCGTTTAGAAAAAGCCAAGAGAAGCCAAGAAGGGTGGCTGTCGAGGGGCGAAGCTGCTCCGAGGACGAAAGAATCTCTTCCTCGGAGCAGGAGATGCCCGGCAATCGGTTGCCGGGCAGAGGAGCGGCGGGCAGGGGCCTCAGATCTTTAACATATAGGCTTGAGTTTTTCTTTATCAAATTCTTTATAGAATTTCCTGGAGGCAAGAAGCGTTTTAGGACGTTGCCTTTGCTCAGCCTTGTTTATCAGTGGCATTGCAGCAATGTAGGGCTTGAGTCATAGTGTCTTAAGGGGTAGTCTTAAGGTTTTAAGGTAAAGGAGCTACCTAAAGGTAGCAATCATAAGAAACTTCTGCTTTTGCTTCCTGCTTTTTGCTGGCAATATTGGGTTAAGATCTGTATCAATAGCACCTTACTACTTCTGTATTAATAATAATGTACTAAACTTGTATGCTTCCGGTCACTGGACAACTCTGGGTGGCTCACAATAATAAAACAAATTTCAATAAAACATAAAGATAAAAGTTATCAAGCACAAGGAAGCAAGAGCCTCTGCCTTGCCAAAGGCCTGGGAGAAAAGCCAGGTCTTCAAAGCCAGGTGATTTTTAAGGGCAGATCCATGTACAGAGAGTATTGCAGCAGTCAAGGCACAAGGTGACTAGGGCCTCTTGATGTAGGAACAGGCGCAACTGAGGCACAAAACGGAGTTGGACAAAGGCCTTTATCCAGGATTGTGACTTCAGGAAAAGCCCCAGGTTGCATAGCAACCTTGAAGGGGGGAGGTCAAAGATGGAATATCTGCAGATCCAGGCAATTCAAACCCCCACAGCCACTCAGTCTTGAGTGGTCTAAAATGGGCTGTGGTTCAGTGAGGATCTTTAAACATAAACATAAATAATGTTTATAGTGGTGATAAGAGCATTTTACATAGTTTGGCAACACAAATAAGTGAAACTAAAGCTTTTGGGGCTTGAACTGTATAAGAGACTCAATTGAACCCTCTGTTGAGAATTTAAAACTTCTGCCTAAAAGATATGCAGAAAAGGTAATGAAATAACACATAATTGTGTTGCCCAAAACAGCTCTTCCAGATGGTATTTGAGTCATGATACTATACTGATTTGGTTATACTTTGGAACAGTTTATTTTTATTAAGTTTTCACTAGCTTTTTAAACTGACAGAATCTTCAGATTCTACTAATATTTCATATAAGCTCTTTTAGCAGAAATATTTTGAGTTTCAAACCACAGCTGGGCAGTTTACAAATATAATGAATAAATGTACAAATAAACTGGGTCAAGAGACACTATATCAGATACACTGGTATAAAGACAAACAAATTACAAGTAGTCCTTGCTTACTGATGGAAATTGGGACAAGGAACTTTGTCACTAAGTGATGCAGTCATAAAGTGTGATGTCACATGATTGTACCAACTTATGATGGTAGTTCCAGTAGTCCCAACTGTCAACAACAGGCAAAATCTGCATGGTCACATAGTATTCTGCAGTCATATGATTGCCTTTTGTGACCTGCCAGCTTCCCGTTGACCTTGCTTGTCACAAGCTGACAGTAAAAGTTGCAATGGATACAACTACAAGGTCAATTCCTAAGTCCTCCTTCAGTGCTGACAATAACTTTAAGCAGTTGCTGAATGAGTGGTCATTAAACAAAGACTACCTCTGGGCATATGCTCCTGTTGAAGCTGGATAGTTCATATCTATATTATGTCTATTTGGAGATCTTGCCTTAGAGTAATATAAACATAACCTGGCAGTGTGATCAGTCCTTGGAGAATTATTTTCTGTTTGATGTCATGATTTATTTTATGTATGGCAGGCAGAAGCTTCTCCGTATTCTTTAGTTGACATCTGCTTGAATGTCTTGGTTGCTGATCTGGCAAAATTCTGTACAGAAAGGCCAGATGGGTCACTGTGCTTGAAAGAATCCGAAAGGCTTCCACAAGAAGTAGCTGACCGATTGCTGCAAATAATGGCATATCAAGGTAAGAAATTTCTGGGCCAGAAGAGACAAAATGTTAACCAAGCAGGATTCTGAATATGGGATTGCTCATAAATTAGAACTCTTAATTCTGTTTACTTCATATTTTGGGGCTCTGAAGGATTTAGGAAAATAGTCTATGATTCAGCAGCGCATATAGTTATGCATTGCTTAACAATGGCAATTCAGTACCAATTTTCATCATAACTTGAGGATTACTTGAGGTTAGCTTGCAGTACGTTTAAAATACAGGTATCTTTTATTAATAGAGTTTTACCAGCTGGCAGTTCTTAGCTAACCTTGGCTCATTTTGTAAACTGAATATGTTTGGTTGTAGTTAGTGCTTGGATGGGTAGCCACTTGGGAATTTCAGTGCTCTTGGCTAACCTGCGAAGTTGCAAAAAACATTCTGGAAGAAAGTCAAGTAATGAACTACTTCTGCCAAGGAAGTGACATATATGCATTATCAGGAGTCAAGTTTAACTTGATGCTGCTTGTAAGCGCTATGTGCTTAGAGCTCAAAGCATTGTTAGAGACTCCACACACCCACTTCACGGTCTGTTTCTGTGGCTCCCCTCTGGGAGGAGGTTTCGAAGTATTTCTAGCAGGACTATCCGATTCGCTAATAGCTTTGTTCCCTATGCCATCCGCCTGGTAAACTCGCAAGATTCGTTTTTCTCGCCATGCACATGTATACATAATCCAAACTAGACTGTGTTGTTTCTCTGTGTCATATAATATATGTGGCTATACGCATAATTCTGTATTTATTTGTTTTTGTCATATTTATGTACTGTATATTGGAGGTGGTGACCCTTTGAGAGCTATATGCAACGAAATTTCATTTTATGTATGCTGATTAGTGTATATTCAAAGTGACAATAAAGTTATTGTTCTGTTCTAACTTGTGGAATTTTTTATCATTAATATGCAAATAGGAAACAGTTGGACTGATTCCAGAACTTTACTTGGTCTGATGTATATCTTTTTTTTTCCCCTTTACTACCAGAGTTGTTAAATGATGGTACAGTGGGCATTTTCCAAGGAAACCAAATTCGTTTGAAGCAAGCTTGTATCCGCAAAGCAAAAATCTCAGCCCAGTCCTTCAAGAAAGCCTTCTGCCATCATAAGCTAGTACAGCTTGATGCGGCAGGAATGAATGAAACTGTTACCATTGCAGATGTCGTGAGTGGATTGGGAAGCAGTAAATGGATCCAGAACAACCTCCAGTGTCTTGTCTTGGACTCATTAATTCTTTTTCCTACAAGTTCATATGAAAGATGCTTTAGTCAATTCCCCAATCTTCGTTCTTTGAGTGTTACAAATGTGTTGTTCAGGGATGAACATCTAGCAGACGTTGCTACCCTACCAAGATTAGAAAACTTGGATATATCCAACACCTCCGTTACAAACATATCTGCGCTCCTTGCCTGCAGGAATCGTCTGAAATCTCTAACTATGTACAGTTTGAAATGTTTGAAAATGCCTACCACAAAAGTCTTAGATATAATAAGAGGACTAAAATATCTGGTTCATCTTGATATCTCAGAGGATCAGCATTCTGGATCCGAGATTGCCTTTTGTTTGCTAAGGCAAAAAGACATTCTGCCTAATCTTGTATCATTGGACATTTCAGGGAACAAATCTATTACTGATGAAGCCGTAGAAGCGTTTGTCAGGCAGCGGCCGAAAATGCAATTTATAGGTTTGTTAGGTACAGAAGCTGGATTCACAGAGTTCCTTTCAGGACAGGGAAGCATGAAGGTTGGGACAACTGAAATGCACTGCAGCTAGAGTGATAATTGATAATCCAGAAGACTTTATGATTTGAAAACCTTAGTTCTAGTTAATTTATTTGTAGCATAGAGCTAATAACATTGATATTAGTAAAGTTTCTTTCTTGAAAATGGTTATATTATTTAAAAAAAAAGGTTTAAAGAAAATAACCAAATAACTAATAGCCTTCTTGTATTTCTACAAAAGATGTATGACTTTTGCCTATTCTCAAACCAACAGATAAGTCTGTTGCTAGCTGAAAAATTATTTTCCTTCAATTGAAAAAAGATCTGATTTAATATTAATAAAACCTGAAGGTTGATTTTAATGTCATTATACAAACACTGGGCAATCCCTGAAGTTCCTCCAAAATGGAACAGGCTGATCTAGGTTCACTTTTAATAAAAGTAGTAGCTAAGTAAGCCATACATTTGGTGGGAAAGTAATATACTGTATATCTTATAACCTGTACATCAGTCTAAAGTCTGTTCCTTGATCAGCCTTGCTGATTAACTCATAACTCAGTACAGCTTAACTATTTTCAACCTCGTGTGGAAGGGAGAAAAGTGACAAAAGTGATTTTGTGGCTTAAAGTATTATTTAGGATTGGGTGTTTGCCTTCCAACTTTATTGTTGCAAGACTCATGTTAACTACTAAATTTATCATGATCGGAATTATACTAAAGGAATGAAATCTTCATATGTTGAAAGGTATCAGGGGGAGAAAATGAAATGCAGATTTTAGAAGCTCTGAAACGCTACAATGAAAGGCCAGCATTTGTGAAGGAGGCCTTCTTTCATCTTTTTACACAAACCTGTTTTATGAAAATTACAAAGCCTGAAATTTTAAAGGTAAGACTTTAATTTGAAAGAAATAATTGCTTGCCAAATGTTGAAGTGTGACCATATTCAATAAATACCATTATTTAAAATTTAAAGATACAAATGGGCTCGTGTCCTTCAATTTTTTTTGTACCAAACTATATAGTGTATTAAAGTTCTCATTGCTGTATCTTTTCATCTTGTAGCTTGTGATTATTGGGATGAGAAATCACCCTTTGGATTTGGCAGTACAGTTGACAGCTAGTGCCTGTGTCCTTAATTTAACTAGGCAAGGCCTAGCAGCAGGCGTGCCTGTTCGTCTGCTCTCCAGTGTGATTCAGCTGCTCCTTAAAGCCATGGAAACTTTTCCTGAACAACGGCAGGTAAGGATATAGAGCAGGGTTCTTCAGACTTGGCCCTTTTATGAATTCTGGGAGTTGAAGTCCACAAGTCATAAAAGGGCCAAGTTTGAAGACCCCTAATATAGAGTAAGATACCCTGTAAAACACGCACCCAAATTGGCACAAATCACTCTTCCTACGTTCTTGGAGCAGCTGATTTTGAATTCCTTTGCTGTGAGGAAAAAACAGACCTCTAGAGGTCCTATTTCATTGTCAGAGACAGTGGAAATACATTGGATTTTTTTTTCACTTACATTGATCTCTTCTTTCACTGGGAGAAAAATGTAAAGCCTTTGCTTGTGCTTTTCATTCATCGGTATATGCTGCATAGGATTCTGTGGCCTACCCACTGCTTCTGCAGAGCTGGATTTGTAAAAGTTGTTTGATATGCCATTCAAAAGCATTAATTAATTTTTATTTACTAATAATTCCCTTTCCTTTAAGATTCAAAGCACTAAAAGCATAGACTTCTTAATTGACCATTTTATGAACAACTAATAATTCAAGTTCTGAATATCACATTTTCATAATATTGAACTCCCTTTTTTTTTTTTCACACAGCTGCAGAAGAATTGCCTTCTTTCGTTATCTAGTGTCAGGATCCTCCAAGATGTTCCATTTAATAGGCGAGTGACATTCTGTTTGAATGTTTCACAGTACAAATGGTCAACTGAAAGTGAAGCCTTAATCTGGATGAAAGAGGTTTTCCTTTTTATGCCATACCATTAAGCTATCTTCCTACATACTGTATATCCCATTACTAAATTAAAATTCAGATCTCTACTTTTTCAAGCCTGTATATTCTTTGTTTATTAATTTCTCTTCCTAATGAAAAGACTAACGATCTGTTCTAATGCTAATTCCATTTCAATTTAAATTCAATTCAAATGTGATGCCAGTAAAATAAAACCATGTTTTGTGGGATTTTGTGTGACATCTCACCAAAAATTGACCCTCTGAATATGTATCATTGGAATACTAAGAATCTGAACTAAGTGGTTGGCATATTTATGAGGCCTAATTTCCACATGTGTGGAGTGCCACATAGAAAAGCAATTTATACATGCCTAGCGTTGCATTTATAATCAGATCTGTCTTAGTCCATAGATGGCAGATTGAAACAAATACTGTGCCAGTAATGCATTGCTCATGTATCTTTTCTATAATTATTCATTCTAGACAAATGTTTAAAAGTCCCTTAACATAGAGGAACTGTTGTTCAGGGGTTAAATTTTGTATGCATACATTCTAATTGTTGGCATCTATAAATAGTAAAACTTCTGTGCATCAGATCATTAATTTAATATGTTCTGAAAAAATATTCTATGCAAAAGGCTACAAAATTGTTAGATTGATTTACAAGTGTTCAATTTGCTGATTGAATCCAAATCAACTATCTGATTCAGGGATAATTGCTTTGAACTGAACCTCTAAAGTTAATTCTTAGCAGAACATATTAGATAAGAAGACATTGCTAAATATGCCTAAGAGATAAAAAGTAAAGCCTATTTTGAACCTAATTCAGCACAATTTAAAATACAAATACCTACCAGGACTAGGTGTTATGCATATCATATTCCTGGGTTATACATAATTCTTAGAAAATGTAGTTTTTGACTTATTTATTTATTTAGGATTTTATTAACTAGATTTATAAGTCACCTCACCTCAAACAACTATAACAAAAGAGTTTTACACTTCTAAATAGAATAGAAAATAGATTTTTGTTTGTAGATAAATAGTTGCTTAACAACTGTGGGATGTGATGAAAAAATAAAATGTTTTTAAATTGTAGGTTTGTGGCTGCCAAATTTGTTGTTCAATGGCTTTGTAATCAGGAAAATCAACATATAGAAAGAATTGCTGTTAATGTAATCTCTATCTTGGCACTTAAGGTATGTGGCTTTACTTTTAATCCAGTATTTTCATTAGGTCTCTAATGTATTCCTTTAAAAGTCTGGTTTGTTTTTAGCTTTCAGATGAGCAAGCAGCACAACTTTCTGCAGAATTCTACATTGTTGTTGGGGTGAGTCCTCTCTGTGTCCCCTGTATAATAGTTGAGTTAAGGGGACAAGGGATTTGTACTTTCCATATTTTTATATTGTACTATTTGTAGTGCTATCCTTTTCCTTTATAGAAACTGCTTGAAATAATTGAACAAAAAACAAATCAGACTGAATTAGATACAACTTTCCATTTTACACTTCGTGCACTTTGGAATCTCACAGATGAAGCTCCAACTATGTGTGCACACTTTATGGACAATAAAGGACTGGAACTTTTCTTGGATGTTTTAGAGGTAAACAGGGTAGTTATTGCTCTGATAGAACAGTATATAAGATGATAGAGCACAACATACATTTAGTTATTAATTTTTTTCTTTGCAGATTTTTTCTTCTGATTCATCTATACAACACAAAGCTCTTGGCCTGCTGGTAAGATTAAAATCAGATGTGGCATACAAAAATAATTTCATAAAATTAGCATGAGTTTTATTTTTTAAGGTGTAAATCTGTTTCTCAACCTTGACAATTTTAAGGCATGTGGACTTCAACTCCCAGAATTCCACAGCTAGCAATGCTGGCTGTGGAATTCTGGGAGTTGAAGTCCACATGCCTTAAAATTGTCAAGGTTGAGAAACATTGGTGTAAATAGATCTTTTTATGAGTATTCTTCCTTGCCTTCTCTGTTCCGCCATGACAAAAAGTTAGGAATGCCAACTGAAAAAATCCCCCCAAAATGTTTCCATAAGGTTTTCCTTCATTTGCCCTCCAAAGTTCATAAAGCTTTGCTTTAATTCAGAACAGCCAGCCATATAACTTGCGGTACTCAAACCTTCCTGAAATGAGCCAGTGAAAAAATAGCAGTTTTGAGCAATGCAAGTTTTAGGAGCAAAATTTGCTAAAATAAGAGTAGAATGGATGTATTAAGCTTTTGCAAAATCTACTTCCACCTTTAATCCCCATCACCATCAAGGTAAAATACAGATAGTCCTCATGTAGTAACTGCCTCATACAGCAACCATTTGCACCCAGTCCTCACATTTATAATCTTTGCAAGTCTGAAAATTAATGAAAGCTAAAGTAAGATCATAAGCACAGTCAGGGTTTCGTTTAGTGACCGCTTCACTTAATGACTGAGATGGGGATCACTAAACAAGGACTATCTATATAGGTAAGTATCAGTTCCTTGAGGTCTTGCTTTCAAAGTTGTGTTTTTTTCCTATCCTAATAAGAACAACGTGGCCGAGGTGAGAGAGCTGCATCCCAGGCTAATGCAGAAGGACTTCGTGGATCGTGTCAGTGAACTTCTGAACAGTGCTGAGACAGAAGTCAGCTATTTCGCAGCTGGGATTACGGCCAATTTGCTATCTAGAGGTGAACAAGCCTGGACATTGAGTCAAAAACTGAGAAGATCCCTTATTGAAAAGCTGGTATAGTGCATTCAGTACTATAACTCTTGAACATTTTCAAGGTTGACCGAAGTATTCAAACTTGTATTCTCTGTTACAGCATTCAACCCTTTTGAAGTGGCCAACACCGGAATGCAAGATGGTAGCATTGCCTGCCTATAGGTATAGTGTCTGTTAAAATAAATCTTGAACAATTCTGTACTTAACTGCTTGCATCTCTGCATGCTGCCTGCTCATGTGCCAGTGGATACCTTTCCTGGCATATGCAAGCTTCCCACCCCACATGATTTTTAAAACAATCTGTTAATTAAACCTAATTAAAACAATGGAAATCAGATACACTGAGAACAAGATGTAAAACAGAAATCTTTAATTCATATGTGTAATTATTGATCTCACACTTATGGACATCGTAGAATTTTACCAGATTGAATTAAAGATCACATTTGTGTACATTTATAAAGCCAAGTGCAGTCTAAGTGCTGGAGATTATTGCTTACGTTCAACTCATTAGAAATAAGCCTGCAAGTGCCCTTAATTCTTTAGTACAAATGTTTCCTCTTTCTCCGCTTTCTGTGCCAACTTTAGTGTTAACCAAGATTTCCTCTTAGAAGCTGGTTGGTAAACTCAGGTTAGCATTAACTTGGGTAGCAGCATACTACTTATATACAGTTCAGAAATACAAGGTGTCAGAAGAGAAGAGGATGTTGTTATGAGCCATTTTTAAAAATTCTCTCCCCTTGGGGTCCCTATGGTGCAAAGGAGGAACTGACTTTGTTCTTTTTTCCTCCATTAACATTACTACATCGGCTCAGTATTTTATATTTTTCCTATTGCTGATTTAATGAGTTAAGCATTTGTACAACTCCTGCCATTAACTGTACTAATTCAGGATTGTGTCTGCCACTATCAGCATATTGCACTAATAGGTAATCACAAGGTATCTTAGAAATGCAAATGTTGTATTGTGGCTTCATTGACTTCATGATTTAAGAATTTGCCAGAATACAAGCACCTGATAGCACAAAATCACTTATTAACATATGCTTATTTTTTTATGACCGATAAGTTTGCAAAATATTCTTTTAATTCTCAGGTCCCTCAAGCCATTTTACCCGCTTCTTGACTGCTTTGCATTACCTGGAGTACAGATCTGGGCTGCGTGGGCTATTCTGCATGTCTGTTGCAAAACCCGTAGGTATTCTTCAATAAGCATTAAAACTTCCATTTTTAAAAAAGCTTGATATTTATTTAACTTTTTAAACTGAAGGTGGAACTGTTGCATCAATTCATAATTACAATAATGCCAAATTTAACAATCCTGCTACATGAGTTGCCAATCAGCTTCTGATTGTAATTCAAGGTGCTGATTGTCACATACAAAGCTACATGGTTTAGACTGCAGTGTTTCTCAACCTTGACAATTTTAAGGCATGTGGATTTCAACTCCCAGAATTCCACAGCCAGCATTGCTGGCTATGGAATTCTGGGAGTTGAAGTCCACATGCCTTAAAATTGTCAAGGTTGAGAAACACTGGTTTAGAGGTGGCTATTTGGGGAATTGCCCCTCCCATAGTCTTCAGGCATCCTCTGCACTCCAATAGGCTCAGCTTGCTTAAAATACTATCAATTAAGCCGCGTCACCTAGGAAAAGAATCTCCTCTGTCACTGCATATACCTTTTGAAATGGCATTATCTGGAGATCTAAACCTTGGCTCAGAAAGTTTTGGGAGAGCTCCTTTTAACTTGAGGAATTGATATAGAAATATAATATGCCCCCCACCCCGTAGATGGCTTTTTTTCAATAGAATGTTCTTTCTTTGAACTTCGTGAAGCTGCCCAAAATCATTTGGAAGTTGGGCAGCCTACATACAAGTGAAAAATTAGAGTTCTTATGAGCAATGGGGGAAGAAGTATATGAACCTGACATATTTCCAAATCACTGTCTTATGTCTGAATCTTGAGTGGAATTGTAAATCAGCATGATTTGCAGTTTTAGTGATACTGAAAACAAAGTTGATCATGTTGCAGCATGCTATCTTTTTGACAAAACCTCTAACACTCATATTTTAATACTGTCCTGTTTATGTTGAAGGTACTAATTAGCAGTCTTATTTCTTCTTAGCTGCCAAGTACTGTGCAATGTTAATAGAAGAGAATGGATTACAGCACTTATATAATATCAAAGACAATGAACAGAGTGATCCTGATGTCCGGTATCTAATAACTGAGGTATTAAGTTATGTGGAAACTCATATAAAGTATTATGGGAAGCCTAAACATCTAAAAGAGCTACAAGCAATTCAGACTGATAAATGAGGTCATATCTTTACCTCTGCCATATAGTGTTGACGGCTGTACTGGTGATCCATTTCACAATTTTTGTTTTTATCAAGATGGCCCTTGTATCTTTTTCAAGTCTTCTGTAACTAACGTATGATATGTATATTGACAAATTGCTTAGTAGTTTAACATGCAAGCTTTGAAGAAAGATGCCAGTTTTTATAAAGGTAATTGGGAAGTCCAAGGCTCTGCAAATGGAGGCTTTGAAATAAAGTTTTTTTCTTGCTAGAATCTCTTCGTTTTATTGTCCATTCTCCCTAAGTAGTAGAATTGATATTGTTCACTGATTGCTGAGACAAAATAAGAACAGCTTAATATTACTGACTGACTGGCAAGTTCTGGATAAGGAAATGTGGGTTTGTTTCTACTAAAACAATGAGTCTGCAGCCAACAATGGGGTCAGTCACAAGCCACAATGATACACTGTTGTGCACGACCAAAGAAGAGATTCTGGCTTTAGTCTATTGTACATATATGTTTGCCATGATGTAACATAAATCACTTTGTTACTGCATTTTTTTTCTGGATATACAAACTATTTTTCTATGAGTGGGGAAAATCTTTCAAGATACTTTTTAGGTTTTATCTAAAAAAAGATATTTGTCAATGATGGTATTTCAAACTGACAGCATGTTTCTGTCTTCAAGAAAGTTGGTCATAATGCAAAATAAAGCTTCAATAAGGTCAAATTCATTATATGGTAGCTAACCATGTAGAAATGAGTTTTATTTTTGCTGTTATTATTGTCATTGGATGTAACATTTACGTTCTCCCAAAGTTGGGTGGCTTGGATTAATTGTTGTGAGAAGAAAATATATTAGATGCTGAATTTATCTTACGGGAAGTTCTAGTACAGTTAAAGCAATATATCTGAGGAAAAATGGGGTAAGGGAAAATTTATGAAGAAAAATCATGTTAAACTATCTCATGCACTCTAGAAGGGTGTGTGCTAAAATAAGAGTGCATTTTATGAACAGTTAAGTTGACCATAACTCATTAATGGAAAGGGAAAAGACAGTGTAGTCTAATATTTTGACTTTTTATATTAACAGTCAGTCAAAGCTTATTCCAATTAAAGATCAGCATAGAACAGAATGGGATGTATTTGCAAATGTAAGCACAAGAATTTATGGATTTTGTCCCCTGGTCTCAGAAAGATCTCTAGATCCTGTACCTACAACATTCCTGGATGTTCTCACAACTCCTAGGCAAACTCCATCTATTTTCTTTCAAAGAATGCCCTTCTCTGCTGGTTTATTTAGGAGCAAATCCCCCTCCCCCTTTCTCTTCTGTAGCTAAATGAAAGGGTTGGGAATGTGTGTGCTGGATATAAAATCTTTGAGAATGAGGGGCTGAATGGTTAATCAATGCAAGGATCATTATCAATATAAAGGATAAAGAACTATACAGGAGATGAAGTCAAAAAGAGAAAGGAAAGGAAATAATTGAAATCTGCTGGGCTTTTACTCATTGGTTGTTCCTCCAGCCAGGGACAGAGAAGAGGAAAATATGTAGCTAGAACAAAATAGGACAACAGATAATAAAAGCATTGTCACTCAGATCATTCCCCCCCCAAAAAAAATAAGTCATTCTATTTTATCTCTAGCTTCTGCTACTTGCACTTATTTCCTGGATCACAAATTCCAGACTTCTGAGATGGCAGGAGGATTTTCTCCTGTGACAGAAAAAAAAAAAAGGCAAAGTGGTGGCTCTTCTTTTAACGTTCTCTAAGAAGGGAAATCTTCCTGTTCCTGACTGACCCTTTAACAAACTTCCCCAGTGACTTTTAACATGCGTTCTAAAATTGCCAAGGTTGAGAAATACCTGTCTAAGCAAATTAGATTTCAGTGACAGCTCACATCCTACACACCTGCCTACTTGGTACATTAAACCTGGGATCCCTAATATGATATATTTAGCTGTCTTAGTTGACCCAGCCCCGCTCTATTTTATTTTTTATTTCATTAATCTCCATATTTTGTAACTAGTAGATTTCTTCCTGAACCCCCTTTTCTAATTTGGCAGCCCAAACATGTTTGATTAATAAGCTCTACAAATAAAAATAGCCATGCCAGATCTTACTAAGGCCTATTTTAGTCCAGCATTGTGCTCCTCACAGAGGCCAGGGAGATACTTTTGTGGCCATTACAAGCAGGAGGTTGAGACATACCCCTCTCCGGCTGCTATTCCCTGCAACTGGTATTTGGAGAGATTCTCAGCTCACTTCCATCTCAAAATTAATAGCCATCAATAGACCAGTTCTCTATAAATTTATCCAACCCCTTTTTAAATATTTCCACCTTAGTACCAGTACAACTTAAATTATTCATCTGGCCACAAGGCGACTTTTGTTACATGTTGTACAGGCAAATGATGCTTCATAAAGCATATTATTTTATCTGTGGTAAATTTCCTTCTGATTAGTTTCATTGAATGAACCCTGGCCCAGAGAAAAAAACACTTTCTCCTTGCCATGCATGATTTTATGTATTTCAATCATTCTGCTCCAAGTTGTCTTTATTCTGTGCTAAGGCATCCCAAACTTTCCTTATTAAAAAGTTGTTCAAAACCATGATCTTTTGGCTGTCCTGTTCTCCACCCTTTCCTAATATTTTCTAGCACAGAATCCACATTTTTCACAACTGAGAACTGAATTAACATCTTTACTTCAGGTATCCATTATAACCTCAAGATCTTTTTCCTGATTACTGTATATTGAAGTTACATGTTTTTGTCCACTATGCTTAATTTTACATTTATTTAAATTGAACATTTGAAATTTGATTAGCAATTGTTTAACCAGATCTTTTTGCAATTCTTCAAGATCATATTGGATTTTTTTTTTTTACCACCATGAATAATTTGTATGATCTACAAATTTCACTAGGACAGTTTAACTCCAAATCAAGTATTTAGATGCTACCTTAAAAGATATCCACCTACTCTCTGATTTCATAAGAACAAAATGTCAGCAAACAAGTCTGGAGAAATTAGAACTACCCACTATTAATAGATTGAGCAATGTTCCTGTTGTAAGGAAATAAAGCAATGGCATACTTACTCATTTTCAGTTTAGTCTTTTAATTCTGAGCTTTATATAATTCAGAAACGCAGAGAAAACTCATATAGTTTTACATTATTTTGTCATAAAATAATTGATGTTCTTAAGATGTTTAGGGAATTACATGAAATTCTGCATTTGATAGCCATTAAAAAAATTCCCAAAGCTGACAATAGCAAACCACTTCCATCTATACCAAGAAAACTGCATTGGTTTATCCATGTAAATTACCAGAAGCTGAAGCTGATTCAAAGGTGACTTTATACATTATTGTAAATTTTCTTTGGAGAAGAATCTTAGTTTTTGTACATTGCTTATAAAATCTAACAAATGCAGTTGCTTGTTCTTTGGGATGATACACAGTCTCTCCTCATTTAGCAACTGAAATCTGTTCCTAAGTGAACATTGTGACTAAAAAAGAGAAAGGCTGCAAAGTCACCAACTGCTGCTGTCTCGCTGGATAAAAGTTTTCTTATGCAATAATAGTCAGTGTTACTCTCTCCCTCATAAGTATGGGCTTTGGTTGGAAAATGATTTTTTTTATTACTGTCATATTTGAACAGCAATACCCTTTACATTATTACCGTTTAGTTCTTGACATCCAAAACAGATTCCAAGCCAAAAACAAAAAAACATTAAGCCTAAAGCTTATAAGGAACAGCTTTTGTCATGGTTCCGAAAGAAGCAGCTTTTCAAAGAACTTTGAGGCTTTGTTTTACCTTAAAGAATCCTTTTATTGCTACATAGCTTCGGCAGGTACATAATGTAGCCAAAAACTGAATCCTCCCTCCCCCAATCACCCGTAACAAAGCGTAACTCATTCCTTCATTTAACAGTCATCAATCACGTTCTCCAATTAGTTTGAAGTGCAATCTTTCCCTCCCGTAACTCCTCTAGTTACATCTGACCTTGGAAATACTATACTGAGATATGGTGGTGGCTATCTATTCCCAGATTACATACTTTCCCACCCGCTATTCTAACATTGTTTGACTTTAACTCTAGAAGTGATATACGGGTTAAATAAACAGGTTTGCTTCTTCATTTATGTCAAGCAAGAACATCGGATGTTAGCAGTCTTGACAGCTTTCCAATAAGGCAAAGCCTTTTGATCACCTCCTCGTATTGTATTCAGGCACTTTCAGAAACAGTGTTAGCCTCATTTACCAATGTATTTTGGAAGTCGTTTCTCAATGAAAGCAGCCATTCCTTCCTGGCGGTCTTTGGTAGGAAGATTCTGCATTTAAAATACAAGTCAATCATTTAATATTTCATCTCTTAATCTTTTCAAAAATTTTCAAGCCTTTGATTGATACATCAAAACTTCCCATCTCCTCAAAATTCCCAAGATTGTAGGCATGGGGTAATTGGGGTTAAAGTCCAAAATCTCTACAGCATTGTCCTAGTTTCCAGCTCCTGTTGTTTCTTTCTCCAGTCAAAACTCCTAACAGATGGGCTCTGTGTCTCAAAAATAAATAAATAAATAAATAATACTCACTGGGTTTCATAATTGTTTTTTATTTGATCTACATTTGGAGCTGGGCCGCCTCCAAATATTATTAAATAAAGAAAGAAAGCAGGTGTAGTTTGGGATCTGTGTGTGTATGTGAATACACAAGAACAAGAATTCAATGTACTGTTTTTTAAATTGATCTGATGTGGGGTGTGGGTGCTTATTTGTATTATTCAGATCTGAAGGATGGAGAAAAGTACAGCAGCCCAAATATCTGAGAAGAACACACACTGAAGCTAAAATGTGGAAACATCTGGCTCTTTTTACTATTTGTAAATTGTTACACCGTGAGATTCTCTAATGTTGGGGGGGAGGGGCAAGAAACATTTTTTTTTAAAAAAAGAAAACATGGGGTTACCTGGGCATAGCACATTCTTTCAATGGCCATTCCTGAGGCAATATCAACCTGAAAAGAAAGAAAATATTTTTGCCCACCTGAAGGAAAGCGGTACCAGGTTACCAATTCAGAAATAATATATTGAAGTATGGCTTTAATGAATTATAATCATTCATTATAGCAAAGCAAAGCTTTTGGCACATAAACATTAACAGATTTATTATAGGCGCAGCTACGTTACGTACCCAGAGTAGAGATGTTTGGATTGTGCCAGAGGTAAAGAATCTTGTGGGAATTTCAATACGAAAATGAGCTTGTGCAATTGCTGTATGTGCACATACGCACAATCCATATCGCCTATAATAACATTTAACTAAGTTACATTTTAAACTTACATTTAAGATAACATTTAAGTGTTATCTTAACATACATATGAGCCAGCAGAGAGCTGGCAGCTGCCACAAAAGCCAACATAGTCCTAGGCTGCATTAACAGAGGGATAGAATCAAGATCATGTGAAGTGTTAGTACGACTTGATAAGACCACAGTTAGAATACTGCAGTTTTGGTCGCCACAAAATAAAAACGATGTTGAGACTCTAAAAGGAGTGCAGAGAAGAGCAAGAATGAGGTTTAGGGGACTGGAGGCTGAAACATTAACAGTGCAGGAAGTGGGCATCTACTTAATGAAAAGAACTGCAGATGACATAACTCTTTCAATATCTAGGGCTGACACAAAGAAGAGGAGGGGGGTCAATCTATTCACCAAAGCACCTAAAGACAAGACAAGAAGCAATGGATGGAAATGAATAAAGGAGAGATCCAACCTAGAAATAAAGAAATTTCCTGACAGAACAATCAATCAGTGGAACAGCTTGCCTTCAGAGGTTGCTGGTACTCCATCACTGGAGGTTTTTAAGAAGAAACTGGACAGCCATTTGTCTGAAATAATATAAGATCTGCTTGAGCAAGGGGTTAGACTAGAAGACCTCCCAGGGACCTCAAAGGTCCCTTCCAACTCTGATCTTCTATGTAACAGAATGCTGTTATTCCGTACAGTATGTTGTCCCTCCTGACACGCAACAGGATATAAACTCAGGAAAAGGTTCTATAGTAATAGTAGTTGAAGCCTCAGTGTTGTATGGAAATGGTGATTTATAGGGGCGTTATTTCTTCCATTTCTCTATCCTGGTGAAGACATTTTTGTCTCCTTTCACTAATGAAAACACAGCATCAGAATGAAGAAGCAATGATGGTCATTCGTACATGTCTTATCTCCGGTTCTGATGCAGACAATGAAACAGACCTGTCACTCATATCAAATTATCAGATCTGGACTGCAAATGTAGAGATGGCCACAAGATGGCAGGGAAAAGATACGGACAACTTTAACTCTTGCTACGATATTAGTGGACTGAATTTCTGCACCTTAGTTCTGGAAGCTCTAATAAAATGTATGTCTTTTTAGAACATTATTTCTCGTCCTTTTTGTGAAACCTTAAATATAAATTGAAGAAAGCTTGTTGTAATAAATCATTACCTCAGTCCCTTTGTTTATAGCCAATTTACCCAGCCTCACAGCTATTGGAGCCTTTGAAAAGAAAAGGAACATTTTTGAATCAGAAATATGTTTGCATGTACACAGTACATATCACGCACACACACACACACAACATTAATTCAATCCCACACATAACTAGTCTGTACAAAGTGCCTTAAAGAGGAACCCATTATCACCAAGTGCTACAGATTGCAATACAGCATTTTCACAATGAGAGTAAACACAGGACTGGCTATGGTGTATATTGCATAAATTACTAAAACAAAATGGAAGATACTTCAAATTTGTAGAACACACTATTCAGGGAGTTTTGAGGGAGTCTATTTCAGTTTTTCTTCATAAAAACAAAAACAAGATACCATCAAGACTCCTGATGCCAAAGTTCAATAAAAAGTACTCTATTTTTAACAAGCAGAAACATATTGTTTCTTCAGCAATATAGAGAGGAGGGTGAAGAACACACTAACCTGGGGAACTATTTCTTCAGCTAAAGTTAATGCCTTTTGGTATGCTGCATCTCCTTCCTCATTCTGTGGTACTGTGTGATTAAGTAACCCCATGGAGAAAGCCTCTTGCCCATCAATCTGTCTGCCAGTGAAAATGAGCTCTTTGGCAGGGGCAATGCCAATGCAGCGTGGTAAGCGCTGGGTTCCACCTAGACAGGAAAAAAAATGCAAAATTCATTAATCAGACTTTATAGAACGTTGTTATATGCCTTGGTTTCCATTTCAATTTCAAGGAGAGAAGTAACATAGAACTAAGGAGAAATTTCCTAACAGTGAGAACAATTAACCAGTGGAATGGCTTGTCTTCAGAAGTTGTGGGTGCTCCACCATTGGAGGCTTTTAAAAAGAGACCAGATAGCCATTTATTTATCTAGAATGGTATAGGGTCTCCTGCTTGAGTAGGGGTTGGACTAGAAGATCTCCAAGGTCCCTTCCAACTCTGTTATTCTATTATTTAATTGCACAAAGAATAATCCATATCGCTAAAGTTAAAAGTAGCGATTACAGTGTTTCTCCTAAATTCTGCTGATGGATCTTTGGAGATTTACTTCGGTTGAAATCTAGTTCTTACTAGCCTACTGATATCAAACTAGATTCTTACAAATCAGCCCTGTAAGATAGGCCAGAAACAGGAGCAGTAGGAATTTCAAGAATGTTTTTTTATAGTAAAAAAGATAGAATGGTAGAATGAAAGCCTGCCCAAGTTTCTCTCTGCCTCAGGTAACATTAAACAAAAATAAAGGTAGGATTAGAACTGTATCTTCTTTTCTGAAAATTCCTCCTGAGTAGTTCTTTTATACTTTTCCCAAAGTCAGATCTAAATGTCTTTATACTTATATAAATCATATTGGTATAGTGGAACCTCGTGTTAATAGAATAATTGGTATAAGCAATTTTCTGATCCTTCTTAATGTCTTTTAAATATCAAAGTATGTTGTAAAAGTGATTTCTGGGAGTTGCTTGACTATAACATTGCACAAATAACATAAAAGTGATCATTTTCATGAAAAGGTCCTGTTCTCAGTCATGGGAACTTTGCATTTATTTACTTGGATTCAAAGTTTAGCATAACTATGTTTTTTTACATTGCCACCTCAAAACAATTACATTTCCATAACCAGGAAAGAAAGTTTTTGGGATTTCATTTTTTTCCTGCCTTAGCTAAAAGAAAGCTAATCCGGCAGAGCCACTACCCTATTTTTTTTCACATTTAGGATCCTCTCAATTGGGTGGCAAAAGCAGGGCAGTTTTCATGAGCTAATCAGTTCTCTTTCACCTGGCAAATGGAGGGGCTATATAAATCAACAGATTTATTCTCATTTTACCTGGCTAATTCATTTCTAGAACAAGGGAAAAAAGAGGGGAAACTCTATGTGGGAGAGAGAGGAGTAGCAGATCTACTCCTCTGCTCGACAGAGCAGAAAACAACATGTAATAGCAGCTTGATTCCTGGGAGAGTTGAGAAACCTGAAGATGATCTTAGTTGACAGTTCCAGGCATATGTGCAAACTATATATATATTCAATAAAAAGGCCGATCACCAGGAGCTAAAACAACACAGTTTTATTATATATATATAATCCCTAACTATATTAAAAATGTGAATCCTGGGTAAATCCATATAATAGAAATAAAATAGTCCGAGCACCAGGATAATATTAAAACAAAAACTGTTTAATACAAAAGCTAAAGCTAAGCTTTCGTCGGCCAACACTGCCGACATCATCAGAGCACAATACAAGATTACTGGGAGTCCTTTTTATATTGCCGCACACGTGCAAGAAGGGCAAAAGAACTAGCAAATGATGAAGGGGGACCGAAAAACCCAATGAACGATCGAGCAGTAAATGACCTTAAGATGGGGGGAACAACCAGAAGTGGATCAATATACCCACGGATGTCCACGGAAGAAGGCAGTGCTCCTGAGTGGGAGAACACACGCAGGAGCATATCCATCACAGACTACCCTGATAAACACCCGGATCCACTCAATATACCCCCTCCCCCGAGCACACATGCGCACAACCCCACCAAGGAAGATCAGATGGATCCTGGAATAGAACCAAAAATGGGGATAAATGTAAGCGAGCGAAAGCAACTGGCGTATGCTAGCAGAAAGAAAGTGATCGAGCCCAAGTAAAAGAAAATAGCAACCTCGGAAGATACCAACACAGCAAGAGACGCGTGCCCTTTAAGGACAAACCAAGTAGAGAAAACGGACGGACCGATGACTAGATCGAGAAGCCGGGTGCAGAGCCATCCGGCAATATAAAAAGGACTCCCAGTAATCTTGTATTATGCTCTGATGATGTCGGCAGTGTGGGCCGACAAAAGCTTAGTTTTAGCTTTTGTATTAAACAGTTTTTGTTTTAATATTATCCTGGTGCTCGGACTATTTTATATATAATATCTGTAACCCTATATTAATAGCTTTTGCTATTTTTAACAAATTACAGTACAATTGTATGGCAAATGAAAAAGGGGCAAGAAAATTGATCATGCAACCTTACCTGCACCAGGGAAAAGTCCTCTGGTAGTTTCAATTAAACCCATTTTAGCTGACGATGCTGATTTGGGGGGGGGAAGACATATACAAGATGAAAATGTTAGACTAGTATAAATATAGCACACATTTAATAAGTCTTAAAAATACTACAGTTTGGCTGGACCAAGTTCATAAGACAGGGCAATAATGTCAACAGTTAGCTTATGATTTTTAGATGCTACAGGCTGAATTAAATTAAATTGTTTTCAGAATAGGAACAGAAAGTATTGGGTATACTGATATTCTCACCTGCTACTCGGAGATCACAAGCTAGCGCCATCTCCAAGCCGCCACCCAAAGCATAGCCATCAATTGCAGCAATACTCGGCATTGGTAATGCAGCTGCAAACATTATGGGATCATGAAATACATTTTTGCAAAAATGGCATAATAAAAGAAAAAGCAACAAGAATCTAGTGGAGAATCTACTGGAGAAGGAAAATATAAAGAACAAATGGCAGTAATATACAAGTGGTCATCGACCTACAACCACAATTGAGCCCAAAATTTATGTTGCTATGTGAGACAGATGTGAAGTGAGTTTTGCCCCATTTTACAATCTTTCTGGTCACAGTTGTTAAATAAATCACTGCAGTTGTTAAGTTAGTAACATGGTTGTTAAGTGACTCTGGCTTCCCCGCTGACTTTGCTTGTCGGAAGGTCGCAAAAGGGGATCACATGACCCAGGGACACGGCAACCGTCATAAAAGTGAATCAGTTGCCAAGCATCTGAGTTTTGATCATGTGACCATGGGGATGCCGCAACAGTTGTAAGTGTGAAAAACAATCATAAGTCTCATTTTTCAGTGCCGCTGTAACTTTGAACGGTTACTAAACGAATAGTTGTAAGTTGAGGACTACCTGTACAGAGCTACAGTTTAGAAAAAAAGATTCCATGATTGATGAAGTGGAAAAGGGTTATCCTTACAGCTAGCATTCTGACAAGTAAAATTAGTCCTCAACATAAGACATTGGGGAGGACGCCCAAGAATACACAGAGGTACACAAGTGCTGCGAAGAAGCATGGCGAGACTCGGATGTGCAAGTGGCCAGCATGGCACAAGGGCAGAGGGGCCGAGGGAGACTTAGTGATTTTCCTGCCGGTTTCCCTATTGATCATCTGGAAAAGTGATTATGGGGCATTGTAATAGGATGTAGTAACAAGCTGTTTGCCAAGCATTCGGATCGTGATCACCTGACTGTGGGGATACAGTAATGACTAGAAGTCTGAGGACAGTCTTAACCACCATTCCTTCAGCAATGTCATAACTTCAAAGTCACTAAACAAATGGTTGTAGGTCAAGGATGTGCCATTTCTTGGCTTGCCTGGGTCATGTTGAGAGAAGAGGAATTGTCTTGGGCCTCATACAAAATATATAATATAGTTAATGTGTATAAATCACATTAATAATGTCGAAAGTGTACAATCTTGTGGGGATGCATTAGTGGCTGTCTGGGGCTGCATGAAGCCTGCAGGCTGTGGGTTAGACACGTCCCTTACAAGGATGACTTGTAAAGTTAAATGGGCTCTAGAAAATACTGTTGAACTATTTAAAATCTTATACGATGGTGCTTCAAGTGCTACTTGCAATTTGTAAACATGTACAAAAAACACCACAATGATCAACACGACGAAACAAAGAAATCACTTTACATTCCAATACCAAAAAGACAGTGCTAAAGAATGCTCAAACAATTGCAGTGATCTCACGGGCTAGTAAAATAGTATCCACGATATTTGGACTGAGATATAACAGATGTACAAGTTAGATTCAAAACAGGCAGGGGCAGCCAACATCACATTGCTGATATCTGGCAGATAATATAAAAAACAAGGGAGGCCTCAAAGCATTTATTTTTGCTTTATGGATGACACAAAGGCTTCCTACTGTGCTTCACATTAAAGACTGAGTAACTTTGAACAAAGGGACCCATCAGGTACTTACCAATGTTGTCCATTAAACTTCTGAGCCTCTGAACAAAATGGTCAGCTTCAGAATCATTCATTTGAGCTCTCTCTTTTAAGTCAGCACCTACATTTGCCAAACCAAGGCATTATTTGGGATATGCAGGAAGAGAAACGCTTGAAGGTAATGTTTCAAAGCATCAATATCTGTTGCATGAACTACAGAAGAGTCATATGATGGTAGAAGAAAGTCCACTTAAGTAAGTAAGCGTACTTAAGTAAGAAGTAAGACTCAAGCAGTTCATCTATATAAACATATATTATTCACTAATGATATTGGTTACTATTTAATATATAAATAGTAAATAATATTAGCATTATTTACATCGGTAGATAATGATGTGTAATATATTTATGTCTATAATGTCAGAAGTCACACTCTCAAAACAATCAATCATAATAGAGCTGGAAGGGACCTTAAGAGGTCTTCTAGTCAAACAGAAGACCCTATACCATTTCAGACCCTATACCATTTCTTAAAAACCTCCAGTGATGAAGCACCTACAATTTCTAAAGGCAAGCTGTTCCACTGGTTAATTATTCTCATTTGTTAGGAAATTTCTTCTTAATTCCAGGTTGCTTCTCTCCTTGATTAGTTTCCATCCATTGTTTCTTGTCTTGCCTTCTGGTGCTTTGGAAAATGAGTTGACCCCTCTTCTTTGTGGCAGCCCTTCAAATACTGGAATACTACTATCACGTCACTCCTAGTCCTTCTCTTTTCCAGACTAGTCATACCCAATTCCAGCAATTGTTCTTCATATGTTTTAGTCTCCAGGCCATTAAACATCTTAGTTGCTCTTCTCTGCACTTTTTCCCAAAGTCTCAACATGTTTTTTTGTAATGTGGTTACTAAAACTAGATTTGTTTTGGTCACCACAAAGGTGACAAAAAAAAAAACAAGGTGGGACAAAAAAAATCTATATAAATTGAATTAGTGATTAGAAGCAATTGTCCCTAAAATAAAATATAAAATAAATAAAATAATGAGAGCTGGTTTGGTGTAATGGTTAAGGCATCAGGCTAAAAACTGGGACACCATGAGTCTTGCCTTAGGCACAAAACCATGTGACCTTGGGCCAGTCCCCTTTTTTTTTCAGCCCAAGGAAAGAGACAATAACAAACCACTTCTGAAAAACCTTGTCACTGATACAGAAAATATATTTTATTAAACAACCAAGTGGAAAGGATAGGTCAGGTGATATATTTTCTTCCACTCATTCTCAGTTTTTTGACTTTTTCAGATAAAAAAAAAACAGCTTTACTTACCAGCACAAAAAACACCCTTTACTTTGCTTTTGACTATTACAGCACGTATCCTTTCATCAAAACGGAGAACATCAAGGATTTCATATAACTAATGAAAAAAGAGAATAAATCCAATATTCAATTCAATGAAATCTTTCTTTGAGGCCACAGCTCTGTATATGTGATCACACTTTAGCTGATAAAATATGTACAAACTGCTAAGTGCATAATTTGTTTTTAGCGTGTGGCTTCTACTACAAAATCTGCCCTAATCTAGGAAACTACCATTCATTGACAATTATGGTGACCTTGGACACCCATAGCCTTTCAAACAATATCTATATAAGGGAAAATTAAATAAATACTGTCACTTACTTCGTCCACAAACACTTTTCCCAGGGCGTTTCTGGCATGTGGTCTGTTCATCTGAATTTCTGCAATTCCTTTACTCCCCAAAAGAACAATAACATTTTTTTTTTAAAAAAAGAGGTTTTGTGTCTTGTTTACATAAGCAAAACAATTCCAGAGTAACATTCAGTTCAAGGTCATAATAGAATATTAGGAAATTCAAATACTGTGCTTCAGGAGTTATTATTATTTTTTTACTAAAAAGCAAATCTAGGAATAAAAGCAGCAGTGAAACAGATGAGTAAATCTGGGCTCAGAAACTAATTAAGGTCAGGGTTGGAGAGCCATCAGGAAATCGTTTCAAAGAAGACTGTAAAACATTTCTACATTGCAGATGTCTAAGGAGTTGTGAAAGCAGAGCTGCCTTTACCTTTTTAATAGTCCTCTACGTACAACAGTTCATTTAATGACCCCTTGAAATTACAACGGCACTGAAAAAAGTGACTTATGACGTTTTTCACACTTACAAACATTGCATCATCCCACTGGTCATGTGATCAAAATTCAGAAGCTTGACAACTGACTCACATTTATGACATTTGCAGTGTCCCGGGGTCAACTTTGATGACCGTCTGACAAACAAAGTCAATGGGGAAGCCAGATTCACTGAACAATTGTGTTACTAACTTAATAGCTGCAGTGATTCACTTAACCACTCTGGGGAGAAGGGTCATAAAATGGGGCAAAATTCACTTAACGACTATCTCACTTGGCAACAGAAATTTTGGACTGAATTGTGGTCCTAAGTCGAGGACTACCTGTACATCCATATTTCTCCACATTTCATTCGGAAACAGGATGAACTGAGTGGAAGGGGGAAGTGTGTATCATTGACTTTTGTGCTTTCTGCTCTTCTGTTATGCATGGATATTTTAGGGCTTTTTTGGTGTGTGTATGCATCTTTGAGTCAGTCTTTATTTCCGGTGAAGACAAATCCCTGCAGTTTTTGTGGCAAGGTTTCATATGTGGCTTGCCACTGCTTGCTTGCTAGGGCTGAGAAAGTGACTAGTCTAAGGTCATTCAGGTGGCCTTGTGTCTAAGTCCAAAACACCAAACTGGTGTTTTAGACTTAGGCACAAGTCTATTTACAAGTATACCGCTTCATAGTTACACTTTATAGCTATACAAACATTTTAAATTTCATTTGCTACCATTAAGAGTATGGAAAGCCTCTCTGCAGTGGGACATTAATTTCCTTAAAAGCAGGGGTAGGCAACCTTGGCTCTTTTATGACTAGTGGACTTCAACTCCCAGAATTCCTGAGCTGGGAGTTGAAGTCCACCAGTCATAAAAGAGGCAACGTTGCCTACCCCTGCCTTAAAGGAAACAAGCATTCTCAGGCAACCAAAATAAGTCCAAAGATAACCTTATTTGGCTTTGCAATTTGTTTTTCCAGGGGCCTCTGACAGCTACAGACGTTCCAAGGCAGTGTGTATTGTTGTTGTTTTTCTCCAAACTTGGCAACTTTAAGATGTGTGGATTTCAAATCCCAGAATTCCCCAGCAAGCTTGCTGAGGAATTCTGGAAGTTCACCCGTTCTAAGAGAAGGGAATCACTTAATGAATACAATTGCGGCTCTCTCTAAATTCTCCGGTGACGGTTGGCGATTGGCCTTCCCCGCATAGCTAATAAAGGGGTGTGTCTCCTAGGTCTTCTATGATTGGCCCACGGCCTACAGTGTCCTGGATCGCGAAAGGAAGAGCGCGCGGACTTTGATCAGGTCGCATTGTGTGTCTTCTCCCTAACCGCTCAGCTGTGGGAAAGGGAAAGTTCCTTCCTTCAGCCTAGTGGGTAGTAGGGGGCACGATGGCCGGCCTCTTCCAAGACACAGGCGTTTCACTGCATGGTTTCTGTGGCCTTGTGCCTTCGAGAGGGATCCAGGAGTCACTTACCACAGTCTGCCTTTCCATGCACGTGTAACAGAATCTCTTTTTTCTTCTCTCCGGACGCGGATCTTCTCGGGGAGATGCCGCCAATCCCCAAGCAGCTCTCTGTAGAAAGTAATCGCAACACAGCGGTGGCTTGGCCCAAGCGGAGCATTTTAGGACGTAGCAGCTGGGCCGAATTAAACTAACAATTCAGGCAAACCTGAATTAACGAAGAAAGGCCGGAAGGCAAGCGAGCCCCAGTTGCTACGGTTCCGTTAAAATAACATGTATCTTGATGCAAGCTGAAACAAACAAGTTTCAAACAACACACTAGTTTTCGGAGCAGTCAAAGTACAATACTGCTCCGCTTTAGGGAAAAAAGCAGTAGCGCCCCCTTTCGAGCACGAAATCTCTTTTATTCCAAAAATATAATCAAAAGCTTCTTAGCGTTAAGACCGACTGCTGATCTTATGGACAAAGTCCCTACAGCCTACACTTATCTCGGCAGCAGTGCAGAAATAAATTGCCAGCTTGGGGATTTTCTGGCGGTCTCACTATACCAAGAGATTGTAAAGTGGTATAACACCAATGTAACCACGGTCCTGTTCTTTGCAACCTAAATCAGTTTCCCCCCCCCCACAAAACTTGGCAACTTTAAGTTATGTGGACTTCAATTCCCAGAATTCCCCATCCACACACCCCAATGTTGGCTTTTGAGATTCATTGGCAGGATAAACTTTTTTCATTTTAAAAATCTGATAAATAGTACAAATACTTTCTCTTTCTCTTTTTTGATGCTTTAGGTTGGATTTCTGATCCTCTGATTTTATTCTTGTTGTTCATTGTAGCAATTACTTTTTTTATATTAAGGAAAATATAAAAAAAAATCTCAGGTCCTGCTCTAGATTGTATGTCAATCATTATAGAGGCAATTCAACTCTAAAGCAATGAAAATGAGAAGCAATGATTTTTTAAAAAAAAAAAAAACTTAGGCATATCTATTTTTGGCTTTATTTGATATTTCTTGGATTGTTATACGATTTTAATTGCTGTTTATGGTTGTAGGCCACCCGGAGTCACTTTTTTTGTGAAATGGGCGGCTATATAAATTTGCTAACTAAAAAGCGGATGCATATTTTTCTCTAACCTCCGCTAACCGGCTCTTATTTTAATCAAAGCTGGGGATTTAAAGCATTCTGCAGTACTCTGGGATAGGCTCGCTCAGCCTGTATTTCCGACTCGTGAATTCGGGCTGGATTTGCAGAGCGAAAGACTGATGCTATCGCTTTAAGAGGGTGGAGACAGATTGAGACTCGTTTCCGCCCCCGTTTCCCCCACCTTTATTCCTGGTGTGTTGTCAGAAGCTCGCTGTTGCAGCGACTGTCTATTTCTTTTCGCGTGTTTTTGGTGCCACGCAAGATCCTGAGAGCATCATGGGCAACAGCAGCAGAAACCTGGCCCTGAACCGCGTCGGGAAAAGGGTTTTTGTCATCGGAGTGGGTATGACCAAGGTAACTGGACTGAGCCGGGATACTTTGGAGGGTATTCTGAGTTCTACAGTGGGAATACAATTGCCATCATCCGTGGCCACGTCTAGAAACAGAGCAGGGTTCTGCTTCAAAGGGTTGGTGAAGTTGCCGTGAAAAATGGGAAGGTCGGCGCAAGCGATTTCCCTTCTCAGCGGGACTTATTCGTTAGTCACTTGATAAACCCAGCACTCCCCTCAAGAGACACGGTGCTGCCTCTCCCTATCCCTCATTTCGCACTGTGTGCATGCGTGCCTTCGAGTCAACTGCACCAGTCCCTGCAGTTTTCTTGTCAACATTTAGGAAGGGGTTTACCGTTGCCTTCTTCCTAGGGCTGGGCAAGAGTGACTGGCTTAAGGTCACGAAGGCTGGAACTCACGGTCGTCCGGTTTATTGCCTGATGCCTTAATAACTATACCAATGGCTCTCTTTATAGTTCTACTTTATAGCCATTCAGACATTGTAAATTAACTGTGTGGCAAACCTCTCCGCAGTGGGGCATTGGTTTCCTTAAAAGAATCCCTGTCATGTGGCCAGGATCAGCCCAATGATGGGGCAATCTGGTTTGGCTTTACAGATTGTTCTCTGCAGGACTTCACCATTACAGATGTTCTAAGACAGTGTTTTTCATATTTGGTAAGTTTAACATTCTAAGGAAAAGGTCGTGGAATCACTTAATACAGTTCTGACCTCCTCTTAATTCTCCAGTGTCAATTGGTGGGTTTTTTTTTACCTTTTTAATACCCCCTCCCCCTTTTCACCATTTTGTTCCAAAACCGGATGAGCAGAGTGCCTATAGGACTCCCTGTCTCCCAGTTTCTAGTTTGGTGCCTTAATCAATTCACCAAATTGGCTCTGTCTTTACCCAAAAGTAAAATCCTCTCATTTCATTGTAGCTTGTTTAGAGCTTTATCCTTAGAACAGCCTTGTAACATAGATTAGAATGAGAGGGAGCGGTGGCCTCTCCAAGCCCATTGAAAGGTTAGGTTTACTACTGGTGGAGGTGGGGGAGATTTGTGCTCAATAGGATTTTTTTTTACAACTTGATGGATGATCTGGATCCCCTTGCAAGATCACAACTGGACTGAGAAATTGCACTTCTGTACAGTTCCCAAGCTATTATAAATGTTAATGGTTTTGTTCCGTTTGAGAGAGTCCTTGGCATCATGTTGTTTAGACATTTCTGACAAAGAGCTCTGTAAGAAAAGTCACAACTTATTCCTGTACTACAAATGGAGACTGAAGTTAGAATACTCAGCGTACTACAGACTACTCTCCATGCTAATATTTAATTTATTGTGCAACCTCTGGGGAAGCAGTTTTTTACTCCATGTTGCCTAGGTCTAATGGACTGTTCCAAATTACAGATTATAATCAGTGTTTCTCAACCTTGACAATTTTAAGGCATGTGGACTTCAACTCCCAGAATTCCACAGCCAGCATTGCTGTGGAATTCTGGGAGTTGAAGTCCACATGCCTTAAAATTGTCAAGGTTGAGAAACACTAGATTATATTAACAGGATAACTGAGGAGACAGACAAAGAGAGTTTGGTGTACAATAGGGGTGTCAAACTGCCGGCCTGGGGCCAGATGCATCATGTGGAAGCCCCGCGCTCACCACAGGTCCAGCAAGGGGAAAAAAGTTGCGATACGTCGTGACATATCACGTGACACAACGAGTTTGACACCCCTGGTGTACAACCATGCATAGTGTTCATACATCCCTTAAAAGACAGCCCTTTACAGGTAGTCCTTAACTTACAACAGTTCATTTAGTGACCATTCAAAGTTACAGTGGCACTGAAAAAAGTGACTTATGACTGTTTTTCACAGTTACAAACTTTGCAGCATTCCCATGATCATGTGATCAAAATTCAGATGCTTGGCAACTGATTCTTATTTATGACCGTTGCTGGATGCCAAAGTCATGGGATCGCCATTTGTGACCTCCTGACAAGCAAAGTCAATGGAGAAGCCAGATTCACTTAAGAATCGAGTTACTAACTTATCAACTGCAGTGATTCACTTAACAACTGGGGAAAGAAAGGTTGTAAAATGGGGCAAAACTCACTTAACGAATGTCTTGCTTAACGACAGAAATTTTGGGCTTCATGTGGTCATAAGTCGAGGACTACCTGTAAAGGGCTGTCTTTTAAGGGATGTGTGAACACTGTGCATGGCTGTACACCAAACTCTCTTTGCCTCTCTCCTCAGTTATCCTGAATACAGAATATAAACATCTTGTTAATGTAATTTGGAATTTGGAACAGTCCATAAGTCCTAGGCAACATGGATTAAAAACCTGCTTCCCCAGAGGTTGCACAATAAATTAAATATTAGCATGGATACCTTTGAGTCGTTGTCCTTTAGATGTACCTAATTATTTATTTTCTTGGTTCTGGTCCTGTATTGTCAGGAGACTGTGCGTTCTGATCTTGCTCTAGACATGAAAGTCAGATGGGAGACTTTGGGCCAGTCACTCTCACTCAGTCAAAACCACTTCACAGGTTTGTTGTGAGATCTCAAGTCACTTGGTGCTGTGCCCTCCTTCCTTGGCCCTCCCTGTACTCGCACACACTCATTCTTGTCCTCCATCTCTGGGCTTCCTTGCTCTCACTTGCAGATATCCGTGCAGGCAGCCCTGTCCTCCCCAAGTTGTGCATGGCTTGTATCAAGCTGCCCAGGATCTCCCACAGTACCCCTGTGCTCCTTACCTGGGACGCATTTTGCTTTCCTGCTTAATAACCCGCATGTCTTGGGGTTACAATAGCAGCTGGGATTGCCGTTGCTAAGTGATGCAGTCAGGTGACATCACACTTTAGAACTGCATTGCTTAGCAAAGGCAATCCCAGTCCCAATTGCCATTATAACTTGAGGATTTCTCAAGGTTAGCTTGAATTACTCTGAAAATAGAGCCAATTTGGTCTAGCCCAGTGGTTCTCAACCTGTGGGTTGAGACCCCATTTGGGGTCGAATGACCATTTCACGGGGGTAGCCAAACAACGCAGTCCGCCATTTTTTTCCCCTTTTCCTTAGCTGTGCTACTCCCTTTTATTCTATTGGCTTTTGAATAGAGTCTAATTCTATTGGCTTTCAAAAGCCAATAGGAATTGTCCAGACTGTCTCTGCTCTGCTAAGCCCGCCAAAAGTTCCATTCTGCAAACAGTGGTGCACCAGTTGAGTAGTCCTCGACTTACGACTGGTTGAGTAGTCCTCGACTTACGACCGGTTGGGGGTCACGGCATTAAAAAGGTTGAGAACCACTGGTGTAGTCATTAAGGGCCAGGCTAGAAAGTGGGAGACCAGGACTTCTCGTCCTGTCTTACCCAGGAAAGCTAGCTGGGTGACCTTGTGCCACTCACTCTCTTTCAACCCAACCTACCTCACAGGGTTCTTGTAGAGAAAATAGGAGGTGGCAGGGTTATTAGGTATGTTCACTACCTTGAGTTTATATATATATATATATATGTAAAAAGAAAATAAAAATCTAACAATGATTTAGACCTGAAGGCCTTTTTTGGTCATAAGCATCTTCCACATTTGCTTTTTTTCTAATAGTTTGAAAAGCCTGGCCGCCGGGAAAATTTCGATTATCCAGATATGGCAAAGGAAGCAGGTAACATATCGTCTATCATATTTAAAACTTGGGCACAGCCAGTGACACATAATGCTATTTGCTTGGTGCTCCAGATACATAGCTAGTGGCATAAACAGTTAAGCAGTACTGTATTGCCAATAGCCATGTTTTCCAAACCACAGGGTTTTAAGTTCACCTGTTTATGCTAGAGAGGTATGAAAATATAATTATCTACATAAGAGAGGCAATAGAAAAAGGCAATAGAAGAATTGCTGTGT